TGCGAAAAATAAAAGCATTTAGTTTCATCGGATAATAACAGTTACTCTCTATGCTCAAGTTGGTTTGCAGCCCATTTCTCCTTTTTTGGTATATGTTTGAAACTCCGCCGTACCTTTTATGGGATTCGGTGACGTCGATTTTACTATATCGGGTATTTTTACGTTACACAGATTTCCTTATATATATATACTACTTATATACTATATATAGTGCGTGCCATGTTTTCTTTCATAGATCCTAGACAGTTAATTGGTTTTCCCGATGGCTAAACATTTTCCCAGGGGCTTGCCAAGTGGCTTAGATCACGTGACTTCCTAAAAAGGAAATAGATAGGTAATTAGTTTTCCCGACGGCTAAATGTTTTCCCGGGCTACAGCAAAAGCAGATATGTATACTTAATTTTTCAAAATCTTTACGTTGGTGAAGTGGTCTAACGTACTAGCCTTATATCCTACCTTTTGTAGAAGGCACGAGTTTAAAACCCCCTTTTGCTAAACTTTAGTATAAATGTTTTTTGAAAAACTGGTTTTTGCTGTTATCCAACCAATTCTGATTATTTTCATATAAATAATATACCATCAGATGCAGCTTTTTTTCCTCGTTCCAATAAGTATAAAATCATATATTTTTATATAGTAAGTCTATAGATGATCCCATTACTTATACATTTATGGTATTATACTTTAGGAATTACTAAGCACATGACAAAACTTGACCTCATGCACGACATTTTTTTTGGTAGCTTAGTATTCTGCAGTTGTTGTACGCACCGTCTCTCGTGCAGTTTGAAAGACTCTGTGTACAATAAAAAACTAACATTGCGTACGACAATTTTCTTTGACAGTTATCGTACGTACCGTCTCTTGCACAATTTAAAAGACCCTGTGTACGACAGAACTATGATGATATATACCGTGTAACTTAGAATGTTAACATACCGTGTATCCAAATGGCTAGCAAACAACTTATTTGTGCTAACATAAGCACTATAATATAGTGAAGCACAAGCAAGAAGATTTCTAAGTAAGCACAAAAAAACGTAGCTAAGACTATAGAAAAGTGAGTAGACGGTGCACCAAGCTTTTTCACCATTTTAATATCTATGACGGTGGTATTGGCTGCAAAGACATATCCTGTATTTCGTGTTCTAAAACTTGCTAGAGCTAGGGCTGTCATATAATTCTATTCAGTTAAAATTTTGACGGTCAATGTAATATTCGACGTATATATAATGTAAGATGATAATAATGTGTACACCAAATAGTTGAATATTTGGAGGGTGAAGAACAAAACATGTAGTAAGAAATAAGGGATCAGGAAAATAGGTTTTGATATGATTGTAAAGAACAATTAATCCGGAGACAAGGCACAAGAGCTTAAATATGAGACAAGAAGAGCATAAATCGTCAAGTACGATGAGGTAAACGACATTTGACACAAAAAAAAGTGCAGAACTGCATAAGGGGTTATGATTCGTGTTGCGTTTTATAATCATTCATCACTGCTTTCACTTTCATCTGAATCCATGGTGGGATTGATGGCACTGCCGAATTTAGCACTCTTTTTCATGATATCCACTGCGTCGTCGTAAGAAACATTCTTATCTTCTTGGATAAGTCGTGCAGCTATCTCTGGAACAAGAATCTGCTGAACAAACTGAAGTGGTGGCATCGGGGCTGTATTTGCTGCTGTCAGGTGGTTCGATTTCAATAGTTCTTTCGTCAAACAATCCATAATGATTTGCATTCCACGGTGTCCATAATAACCAGGCTGTTTTAAACAATGATTTAGTAAGTTATTTTATGAGTGATAGCTTTGTACTTACCAAAGATTTTTCAGCCCTTGCCATTCGTGCGAATACGGATCGTGCAACACTTCGGCTATATTGGCTGTAGAATTCGGTTTCTATCGATTTGAATGTGCTTTCGGTTTTGCTGACTACAGTTGACCCCCGCTTTTTGCAGTAGCGGTTTTTCATGAAAAAAACTGCAAAAAGCGGGGAACTGCAAAAAGTGAGGATGGGTATAAGGGTGTTACACAGGCTGAGTATAGCTTAGCTTACTAAGTGTCAATTATATGAACCAATTAAAGAATATCGGTACTTTGTTGAGGTTACTTTCACATTGCAATGTCTATATAAAAAGACTTGAATTTTTGCAATTGTCTTATACACACTACTCAAACTACACATCATGTCGAAAGGAAAATATGAAAAGCTTACTGACGAAATAAGTGAAGCAGCGTATCAGTACTACGTCGCCAAAGAGAAAGTGCTGCGCAAGTTTACATACAAGGATTTACTCGACTGGATAAAAACAACATACAACCTTGAGAGTGTTCCGAATACAACAACAATTTCACGAATGATTGCTAAGAGAAAACATGAAGAAGAAAACGGCATCGAGAGAAATAAAAGACAAAAAGCTCGAGCAAAGTTTCCCGTATGTTTAAGCTTATTGAGTACTGCTTGCTATTCACTTTACTAATAAGAAAGCAAAATATTACAATAGGAACTAGAATACGCTTTATATACATGGATAGAACAAAGATTCCATGAGAAGATCCCAATCAATTGGGATATTATTAAGAAAGCTGGTGAAAACTTTGCAACTAAGCTGCAAATCTCTACTGAGGACTTGACATTCTCCAATGGCTGGCAAAACCGCTTCCAAAAACGATATAACCTCAAGGTCCAAAAAATAAGTGGTGAAGCTAGCTCTGCTGATGTCACACTCGCAGAAGTCAAGTTGCCTGAAATCCAACGAATGCTAGAAAAATATGCGTTAAAGGACATTTACAACATGGACGAGACAGCTGTCTTCTACTCCAGTGCTCCTGTGTCTACAATTGCACCTGGACCGTTTAAAGGAGTCAAGCAGGACAAGTCGCGGTTGACTCTTGTATTGACGACGAATGCTGATGGATCTGATAAGTGGCACCCCTGGTTCATTGGCAAGGCACAGCGCCCAACCTGTTTCAGCAAAGTATGCTATACGATAAAGTAAAAGATGATGATCAACTGCTTATTATATTTTCTATATAACAACAGGCACAGCAGAGAAAGGTTGACATCTCGAAGTACTGTGCAAATGCCAATGCTTGGATGACGCGCGATATCTTCAAGAAGTACCTTACTATGTTGGATAAATCGATGGTGTATCAGCAAAGAAAAATTGCATTGCTCTTAGACAACTTTTCGGGCCATTTTTGCGATTACGAGCCAAAGAATGTCGAGCTAGTATATTTGCCGCCAAATACAACATCGCTTATGCAGCCTTTAGATGCTGGTATTATCCGCAGTTTCAAGGTGCATTTCAAGTACGTTGTTGTTATAATTATTAGATAGGCTTATTTTATATGTATGTGGAAATTTGAAAGTAACCATTTTCTCTATTGTATTAGGAATTTGCAATATGAGCATGCATATAGCAGAATTCAGGAGCGCTTGGAAAAAGGCCTGCCTGTTAATGACGGAAATACGTTTCGTATTGATGTTTTGACAGCAATACAATGGTGTCATGAGGCATGGCAAAGTGTTCCAGTGCTGACAATTGTAAACTGCTACATAAAAACGAGGGTAATAGATGCAGTCATGACTAGCAGCACTGATAGTGGGTCAGACAATGCAGACGAAGTTGCACTTGGCCAGATTGATGATCATCTCAGTCTTATTTATGGTGCCAACAACCTTGCAAATTTCACTTTTGATGCAGATCCACCTGAGGAAATTGCAGCTGTTCATCCACTACTTTCCGATGAAGAAATTGTTAGTGCTGTTCTTAATGAAAAAGTAGCTGATGATGTTGTTGACAACGGCAATGAAGATACTAGCATGACTGTTGTTTCATCTGAACCTGTTACACCAGTATATAGTTTGCAAGAAAAAACAAGAATACTAGAAAAAACAATTGCTATTTTAGATGCCGCGGAACATCAAAACATACGGAATGAGCTCAGAAAAGTCCGGGATGATTTCCGCAAGAAAAGCCAGAACAAACAATCCAGAATCACCAATTATTTTCAGTAATAAAACCTTTATGTAATAAATATAAAGCTTTATATAGAAAACTAGGAAGTATCAGTGGTTCGATTCTCAGTGTCGCCGCTCTCTGGGGAGAATGAAAACCACTAGCGGGAAATTGCAGGTCCTGGTTTTGGGCTGCAAAATGCAAAAAGTGAGGAAACTGCAATTTTACTAAGTGATGAGCGGGATTCCTCTAAAAAAAGCTGCAAAAACTGAGGATCTGCAAAAAGCGGAGGTGCAAAAAGCAGGGGTCAACTGTATGATATCTTGTATAACTGGTACATAATTCATTACACGTAAAGGCAAGGTCGCAAAATCGATATGAGCTAGGTAACCTTAGGCGATTCCTTCTGGTCTGATCAACATTTCTTTCCTATGAATGCTGCAGAAGTTGTATTACTCAGTAAAGCGAACTGGTCTGGGTTTAATCTATGCTTCATCGAAGCAGCGGCGACGAGACGTTGAAAGTTCTTTAATGCGGCGTTCGTCTTGTTTCTTATGCTTCTCTTCTTTTTGTATATATTCATCGTACTGCTTCTGTATAGCAGGAGGTAACGGTAATAGCAGGTGTGTTTGACAATGGGGACATGCTATTGCACCATGATCTAGATAGTATAACAGATGCGTTCAGAGTTACTAGAATACAAAGATACGGAGCGGTAAGTTATAGGTACCATGATGATCGCCCCATATATCAATATCGCAATCAGATTCATCTAAAATCAGAATGGGCGACACTTGTCTTCTTTTTTCTATGCTGATTGCTGTTGAATCTTGATCCACTGTTTTTTTGATATGCAGGTACCTCTAAAACGTTTTGTGATCGTGACCTAGGCTGATCTCGTTCTATTGCTGCTTGTGTCGCTGTGATATCGGGGGCCATCACATTTTAACAGATGATCGCAGCAAGACCGGCTCCTAATGGTTCCCATTCATGAAATGCATAACGAACGGCAGGAGACTATATCGTTTGCCCTAAAGTACAGAGTATGGCAATGTCAGCAACGGCGGATGATATTTCGCCCATGGACCAGATGTATAGCAAGCAATCAGCCACTCCAAAGCATTGGCTACCAACTGAATATCCACGCTTCCGTCAAACCAGTACTCCTTGGGACAGTCGGCCTCAATATCACCAAAGGCGACACCATAAGACATCCTTTTGACCAGTTTTTCATATTCCGTCTGGCTGCCACCACAGATGTAAGACAAACAAATGCTTTTTCCCTTAGCCACCACGTACTCATGCATTCTTTTTTTGATGTCGGCGTATTTATCTTGATTGCTTTTATATTCAAGATACGACAAAGTTCTGAACCCACACCATCCGTCTGGCTTTATCTCGACCGAGTCTGTAATGTACGATAATGGAATATCTGGATGTATTGTCGAGCTACACAGCAAATGGTGTAAGTTCATATATATTAAACCACTACTAGGCAAATATATGCCTATACCTTTGATCATGTAGAGCCTGTGTACTACGCTTTTTGTTTGGCCAAAGCTCTTCAGAACCGTTCTCAATCATTGTAAGTTTTCTTTTTTTGACCGTTGGGTTAGATTCGTTTTTTTCAGTAACAGTTTTTTTTCTTCTTTCTGATTTTTCTTTTCCTTTCGCATCTTGTTCGATACTCTCAAAGTAAGATGGTAGCCTCGACCTAATAACACCCTTCGGCCGTCCTTTGGTTTTGACAGTGGTCAGTAACTCTAAATCTTCGATGGGTACTGGTTTGTACTGATCTAAAGCCGTATGTATACATGATATCAAGTCTTGCTTTTGTTGACCCGTCTGTGCATCGATAAATAAGTTGTCAATTCGATCTTTAAGCTCTTAATAATCTAGCTCCAACGCATCTTCTTCAACATCGTTGATATCGGTTCCAAGTTCTTCGATGACAGGTTGTTCAGATACTTTTGCTATGTGATATGTGAGCTGTTAATTCCATACCAAAATATTGACTTTAGCTGCGACATTATAAGCTACATACTTGTACTTGATACCAATTTCCAGCTTTTGTCAAATATATTGGGATGCAAGATTTCTTGATCATTAAACTCGTAAAAATAGTGTCTGCACGGCAAACGATAATTGACAAAGACTTCACAGCTATTACATTGCGACGATCCCGGCGTCAAACGGCGAGCGGCAATCAATTCCGATATAACGACGTTGATCGCTATAGAGTTGCCACGGTAATTACTTAGTAGAGATATAACTCATAGTTAAAGAAAAACAAGAGATTTATAGATTATTAATAAATTATAATATTTTTTATTGTAATAAGTTCAAAAATTTTATATTTAAATAAATATAGTTGTTTCAATTTTGTAATCCTTAATGAAATTTGTAATCACCAAATATTTTTGTAATCTTTATGAATATAAAAATTTCATAAACTGGTGGAATGGTAATGAGCATACCCTCCTCTGAGCTAGACCAACTGGATCGACGCTTAGCTTGACAGAATAGAATTATATATAATTTTATTATTTATAACAAATATTATTAATATGATTCATTCTCCGTAGGTCCAGTCCACCCAGTCCACCTAGGTAGACCCCAGGTGGACTCCAAAATATTTTTAGATATTTGGCATCAAAAAAGGCCCAGGAACACGATTTATTATGATGAAAAGCTTTACCTAATTAGTACATTGCGAAGATATAAGCTATTTACTGTTGAGCAGAAGGTATACTCTACCGAGTCTACCTAGTCCACCTACAAAGTACTTATTCTGCCCCAAATTTAACTTTGAAAGTCAGTTGCGAGAGAGTGTAAAGACAGTTGAAAAAAACCATTAAAGTGTACTTGTCATCTTGTTTCATAAGAGAATTGTATATTTCAACTATATGAAAGGTAAGTAAAGAGAGAATGGGAGGGGCAAGATCTTACTACTACAAGAGGAGAAACAAAAATGGAGGTAAAAAAACAAACCACTTTTCATATAAGAAATAAACTTGGTTTGTTATTATTACTTCTTTACAACTTCCTTTTTCACCTCCATTTTTGTTTTTCTTATTGTAGTAGTAAGATCTTGCCCCTCCCGTTCTCTCTTTACTTACCTTTCATATAGTTGAAATATACAATTCTCTTATGAAACAAGATGACAAGTACACTTTAACGGTTTTTTTCAACTGTCTTTATACTCTCTCGCAACTGACTTTCAAAGTTAAATTTGGGGCAGAATAAGTATTTTGAGTCCACCTAGGTAGACCCTAGAATCATTTTCGGTGTGGCGAAAATGATGACAACGATGACAACGGAAATTTATTTCAAGTGGCGACTGATGACAACGGAATGACAACGGGATTCAGCCAATGTAATTGGTGGAAAATGGCGAGCATGACAGCAAAATAGCAGGGGAGCCAGCTCCACTTCTTTTATCATTATTATTTTATTTACTCTTCAGCACACTCGTTTACTGCCGCTTTTTATTCTATACATATTGAAGCAAGGGCGCTTGCAAAAAAATGTATCTAGCTTAAGGGATGTTTATATGCTGGAAGAGCTGTGGCATTGGGATGGCGAATGGTTTAATTCTTTTACTAGTAGCAACTGCTGAAACTAATAGCCATCAAACGAGGGCGGCAACGTAATCCAGCAGCAGCAGCAGCACTACAGCAACAAACTTTACAACAAACGGAAGCTACTGCATCTCACGACAACAGTCAAAGTTAATTACCATACGAACGATTTGACCCCATTGAAGCATGATCACAGCACAAAGACAGCAAAACTTGCGCCAGTCTATACAGTACAGGCCACTTTTTGTATACGCTATACGAGGCTGCGAATAACGAATGACAACGTCGAATATATGCGATTAGCTTTCTTCAAGGAGCATCAGCCCTGGCGGTACGTGTTTATTCTTTTTTTTTAACAAGCAAACTGGCAAAATCAAAAAAAAGCAGCAATTCTCGCACGGCCATATCGCATCATCGAGTACCCTAAATAACAAACCGCTTAGTGTGCCAGAATAAGGACGAGCAGACGAAGGCGACGATGGTGGTCTGATGTCTCTACCATGTCGTATCGACGAGCAACAGCCAGAAACGCTACACGTGCACTTTATAGTGGATCATATATATATACACGAAAGTCAGCTAAAAAGGAGCGATTCGTGCACGGCCATATCTCACCATCGAGTACTCCAAATAACGAACAGTTTAGTGTGCCAGAATAAGGACGAGCAGACAAAGGCGACGATGTTAGTGTGGTGTCTGTAGCATATCTTGCCGATGAGGAACAGCAGTGAAAAAGAGAGTGTAGATTATTATAGATCAAGAGCGGCCTGAAGCAAATGAGGATCGCTACAAGGATCCAGGCATGGCGATATCCCATTATCACATAGGTAAGGATGAGAAGGATACCATGGATATAATGACAGTAAAGCTATATTCTTCGATGGCTCTGTGGAAAGCAACGGCAAAATGCAGGTAAGGAAGCAATAGCATTTTTTGAGTGTATAGTATTAGCATGCTTTAATAAACTGGTATTTCATGAAATGAGATTCTGTTGTCGTGTGAAATACAAAACAGCTCCATGTGCTTTAAGCTTAAAAACGCATTAGTAAATGTGGCATCTGCGGTTCTGATGCATGTTCGTATATGAAAATCCAATCAGTAGAAGCTGATGAGTTGTATACCTACAGTCTATACAGCTTTCTGCTGTAATTTGTCTTTGGACTCAAAGACGCTATTTAATTGCAATGAAATAAAAAGGCCGGTCTGTGGATTTTCTGTGTAAGAGACACTGGTTTGCCCAGTTGAAAATGGAAACTGCAACTGAAAAGAGAGCATCAGCATCAATACGTCGTCGTTGAAGCTTGTTGTTGTAGAGCTGGATGTTTGTAAAAAAAAAGGAAACAGCAGCATTTTCGCTGTTATGCAGGCTTCTTCCTACGACAGACACAGATGCAAATTCTTTTATTCACGCGATCCAACAGATCTCAGTACATTGTCATGATTTCAAGCAGCTATGCTACTGATGAACATAGGACATCGTGGGGCATTAAGACACTCAGTAGGCTGAAAAGAAGGGCGTGTAAGCGCAACGGGTTTAGGGGCCTGGCAGCGAACGCCAGTGAGCGAGCAGGTTTAGTCGAACGCGCAAGTCCTGGTCCGGGTTTACTAAGGTTCTGGGTTTAGAGTTTCCAATTGATGAGCTTGGATGTATATGGGACTCTCTTCTTCTTCTCCACCACCTCTTATTTTGGATTGTTTTATTGTTGGCTATTTTATATACTTCTTGAGTGCTGATGTATGTGTACCTGTACTAGAGAGATAATTAACCTGTGTCGGACACATATTAGTAGATAACGTGAATGGCAGTGACCAATATTTTGCTGTAAAGAAGTGTTGATTACAAGCATAAACGGATGGGAAAGGCAGAAGGAACGTGAGGAAACGACAAGGCAAGGCGAAAAGGTGATGGCATCCATGGTCTTGAGCACCGTGTTTGGGTAAAGTCCCTTTCAAGGTGCAGCGCTCCTCAAAGAAATTTTTTTTTATATGAAAGGTAGCTTCTGCATCTCTTTCGCTCTTTCACTTCTTTGTATTATTTTATTACTTACTGCTCACCGCCATTTCAACACTCGAATTGCCATCTTGCACACGCTCCGTCAGAATCCAGCTTTGCCGCATCTGACGTTCCTTTTGAACACCACTCAAACTAGACTCGTCCTATCTTCTTCACGCAAGCAACATTCGTCTTGTACGCGTTCTCTAATCTCAACACTCGAATTTTACACATCTCGCACTTTTTCCTTTCAACACCAATAAAGCATCTCGAATGAAACTCATCTCTTGTCCTCAGTCCTTGTGTGTGTTTTTTTTGTTTTTGTTTAATGATTTCCTGTACAATGTATAGCCAAGATGGACAATGGCGGTGCTAGTTTATATACAGCAACATATAGAGCAGCAAAAATAACAGTAACAACCACGAAAACGACGACGGTCTCATGATCCACGGATTCGAATTGTACACGACAACCACCAATAGAACGCGCAACTTCTCCTGAACACGACGATTGTTGTTGCATGTCTCTGCGATGATTTTGGAAGGAGTAACAGCAGGAACGGAGATGGGTGTGCGATTGTATTATACTCTACTGGCAAAAATAATAGCAGCATTCACAAAACGATGATGATCTTACGACCCACTGGTTCAAATCGCACACAACAACCACCAATCGAACGCGCAGCTTCTTCTGAACACGACGATTGTTGGTGCATGTCTCTGCGATGATTTTGGAAGGAGTAGGGACAGGAACGGGGATGGATATGCGATTCTATTATACACCAGGCAACAAAAGAAATAAATTACACCCACCAAAAAGAACGACGTTTTTTGCGATCCTCTACTGTTATTCTCTGTCTCTTTACTACTATCGTCATCCTCGTCATCATCAAATCACCACCACATTATCATCATCATGGGCACCACACTGCCAAATAAACTTGTCATCTGTTGCATTATATCTACTTGAGCTGCATGTTCAGCAGGAGTGCTCGGAGAAATAGTGCTTCCAGTGCCATTGGCGTCTTTTATTGGGCAAAAACAGTGTGAAATCCACAAACTTTTTCAAGTGGCGACCGATGACAACGGAATGACAATGATGACAACGGGATTCGGCTAATAAAATGTGGTGCTGACAACGGAGTGTGCTTGGGGGAAAATGGGAGGCAACAGCTCTACCACTTGCCAAAACAACTTTTCGTAATTGCGGTAGATGATGAACACAACATTTCGACAAGACCTGCTCAATACCAACTAAATCAGCACACAACAGTTATGCGTACAATAAAGGCTCTTCAGCAGGATGTATTGCTCAATAACGACAGGCTTTATAAATCACGACAGGATATTGCTTATATCAGGTTCGTTGGGTGTGATAAGCGTTTATTCTATTGGTAAAAGAAAATCTAAAAAGTGATAAAGAGACAGAGACAGAGACAGAGACAGAGAGAAAGAGTATATATAAGATATGTGTGTGTGTTGTAATAAAAGAAAATAGAGAGACAGAGAAATGTGTGTGTGTGTGTGTGTGTGTGTGTGTGTGTGTTGTAGACAGATTTGTATGTAGGGGGCAAGAGAAGAGGGAAAAGAGGTAGGAGAGCTGACAGAAAACTAACGGAAAGAAAGGCTTAGTGCTGGTCCGCGTGTCGCTCTTCCTCCACAATAAGCTCTTCGAAAATCTGTAAAAACAGTTTCATGGCGTTGCCAATATTGTCGAGGTCCTTGTTGGATAACCAGCTTGCAAACTCCTGGTCCGTTGTTGGGAAGGTGGCACGGCTGTCTATGTCCGGACAGTTCTCGGCGAGGAAGCGGGCATGGTCGGCGTCTTGGTTGCGTGTGTTGAAGACTGCCCAACAAGCAGGAAGCACCGTGTTTGCGATTGCTGGGTTACAACCTCTACTTCTGCATTGATAAAGGCTGTTGTGGAATGGAATACCACATGTGAAGCACATGCCGGGTCTATGACACCAGAAAAAGAAAAAAAAAGTAAAGTAAGTATGCAACTATAATACATCCGTAAAAAGAACGGTACTGCAGAGACATACGTGTATTTGATACAGCGATGGTAACCATCAAAACGTTTATATTCCTTGAAGCAATAGCCGTCGTGGCCGAACGAATCCCTTGGTAGGTAACCGCAACTTTGCCTATACACCAGCACGCAATGAATACAGACTTGGCTTCTGTAGATGTCCTCGGCCTTTTCAAGTACTCTGTCGTTGTAGTCACGGTGGGTGTTGTGGATGGTGTTGCTTTGTTGCTGGCCTGCAACAGATTCGATGGAAGGTGTGTTCTAATAATGAAAGAGAAAGGAATGAGCCAAACGTGTTCAAGACTAACAAAGTTGTTGTAAAGAGAGAAAGGCGAATGCATACCGTTGTGCGTGGTGCTGGAGGCTCGACTGTACTGTCCTCTGTGGTTTCCACCTCGAGTTCCATGGATATCCTTGGTACTTGACGACGGTCTTGGCGGGGGGGACGGACTGGACCAGCCAGTAAAACCGAACAGTAGCCACAGTCTTCATAAGTGTTGTCGGCGAGGCAGTTGACAGATGCGGTACCATCAAGGTACTGTTGTAATTGGAAACAGATGCAGCTATTAGCCTGTGAAATTTGATATTAGTTATGATGGTTCTTAAAAGGGGAAGTGATCGTATGTATATATTAATAAGTTGAAAACTTGTGTAGTACCTTGACAAATGTAACCAGCTCCTCTGCATCCTTGATCTTCAGTTGGTCTTCTTGCTCGTCCTTCATCCTGGTGATCCTGTTCTCTTCGCGATCCAGCACGAAGTACAACTGGCACGTTGAAGGTAGCCCGTCGCGACCAGCACGACCAGTTTGCTGGGCATAGTCCAACAAACTGTAGGGCAACCCCCAGTGAAACACCACGCGCACGTCAGGGGCATCGATGCCCAACCCGAAACCAGAGGTAGCCACTATGATACCACTGGTTTGGTGCATCCATCTGTCCTGCTGTTCTTGCTTTTCTTCGTCGTCAAGGTTGCTGTAGTACTTGCAGGCGTTGAGCTCTGTGTACTGGTCGGTTTGGACCAGGAACTCGTGTAAGTCATTGACCTTGGTAGTGGACGTGCAGAAAACAATACCGCGGACATTGCTGTGATGATGGAGCAATTCGTTGGCTAACATCGTCATGATTGCGTCGTTTGATATGGTGTTTTCCTGCAGGTGCAAGGAATATGCGAGGTTGGGGCGGGAGGTGGATGGTGTACGAATCGTTGCAAAGTTAGACCCGTAGAAAATACGGGCCTCGTCTTCCATAGAAGGCGGCAACGTTGCAGTAAGTAGTAGGAGTAGGACGGGGATGGACCGAAGGACTCGAAGCTTTAGCATGGCCACACGGAAGGACAACCAGGTGAGGCCCAAGTGGCACTCATCAACCACGAAACGAGAGATCCGGCTTTGCTGCTCAAAGCAGAAGGTGACAAAGTTTGCGGTGGCTACATGCTCGACCGCGACAAGCAGGATCTGCGCATTTGTGTTCGTTGCGCGACCAGCTAATAATAGCATAGGAAAAAGATAAGTATATGATTGCAGAATTTGTGCTGAAATAAGATGTTGGTTCAAAAGACTTACATTGCCACAAGGCTGTGGATATGTTGGCATGGGTTAAACGTCGAACATGATTGCCAGTCAAGGCCACCAAAGGAACAACAACGATGGTGAGCATGCCGGGTTCAAGGAGTGGTGGTACCGAGAACAGCACGCTTTTGCCCATGCCTGTGGGTAGCACAACGAGCAGATCGAGCTGGCGCTCTATGATCAGAGGCAAAGCTAAAGCCTGCTCGCGAGACCGGAACGTGGCATTATCGTCGTTAAGGAATTGGCGCAAGCCGTTGATGTGTTCAAGGAGGACGGCTGTAGAGAGAAAAGGTAAGATGAGTGAAAGAAGGAGACGGAGGTAGACGAAATATAAAACAATCATGGCAAAAACTCATGCTTGTATACGATAATTGGTGAGATATCGCGGGTGGTCTTTTCGTGGATGGCAACAACGAACCGTTCTGCGGCCTGCGCAAGAAGGCTGTTAACCTGACTAGGTAATTGAGAGAGAGGAGGAGCAAGGGCGAGAGGCTGCTGTTGTTGAGGTTGTTGTTGAGGCTGTTGCTGAGGCTGTTGCTGAGGTTGTTGTTGTTGAGATTGTTGTTGAGGAGGCGTGGATGGCGTGACATGGTCGGCAATACCTACATAATCAGGGAATGCGTAATTAATTCACTTGTCTCTTTTGTCTATATGATCCACAAGAATTATACATACCCAACAAGCTCTGCCATTCACGGGAGCAGAGGTCGAACTCGTGTATTGCTTCAGATGATAAATACTGGAAATCGCTGGGAGTACGGGTGTAAAACATGCCGGCCGTAGAACCGCTGTGTGCAGCCTACAGATCAAAGAATTCAGTGTTCAATGAAGGGGCACCACGGACGACGGCTCGAGCAGTGGCGTGCTGCCGTTGCTCACCAGTCGTTGAGGGCAGATCCACGTTTTCATCGTTGTCCAGGTCTAAATCCGGGTCACCACGGATCTCCTGTGGGCTTTCCAAGAAAGCTCTGCTTCTTTGCAAGTGATGGCGCATAAAGAACGTGGCTAGTTGGCGGTATCCTTGGAGGCCAAGTCCAGCTCCAGCAAAGTCCTTCAAAAAACTGTTGATGCATGTTTAAAAAAGGCAAGTATATCAATTAATTATGTGCACTGTTGTTGGGTATTTCTTAGCTGACATGTATATACGTACCGATATAGCTTCTTACTGAGCTCACTACCTGTAACGACGTTGCCGTTGGCCACGAACAAAAAGTTCTGGTAGTTTTCTATGCCGACCTGGACATCCTCACCAGCGCGGGTCTGCTTGAAGGCGAACCTGCAAACGATTCAATTTCAACAATTTGGGCAAATCAGCAAACCAGCATCGCAAATTCAATACATTGTGAAGCGCGCTTTGGCAAAAAAAACAAGAATACAATACATACCGTTCGAAAGGGCGGACGAGGACAAGGTACATGAGCAAAATATCACTCAATTCCTTGGTGAGGAATCGAGCAATATATCGGTCACCAGTAGCACGCGAACGACGCTTGTAGTAGTATTGCACGAGCATCACTTTTTCACGGTACCAGTAGACACCACGTCTTGCACCACGGGCAGATGAGCGGATCGTTGTGGCAGCAAGCTCCTCGCCACGAGCAGGCTGGCCGCTGGTAAGGTGGACAAGCACCATGATGATCATTACGAGCTCTTGTGCTTGTTGAAGCCAGGCGAAAAGGCTGTCGAACTTCCACACGAGATCGCCACTAGCAGTGACACCAGTAACGAACTCGCTGGTGTGCTCAATCGCCAGGTGGTTCATTAAGGCCGTCAGGTATGTGGGATCGGCAGTGGCGTTGCCAGCACGCGAAAAGAAGTCGACGGAGGGATCCTCGCTTCGTGTTTCGTCAAGGATAGAGGAGGTGGAAAAGGGGACTTGCAAACGGTAACCACGCAACACGCGATCCTCCAAGTGGGTACAACAATGACGAAGGAGGCTTTGGACACCAACCTGGATATTGCAAAGGTCGACCCTGGTGGTGCGGTGTTGGATCGACATGAGGTTATCGTCCAGGATCAGAATGGAGGGCTCAGGTGGGTGATCGCCGCTCGCCAAGGTCGCCGTCCGCATGGTCTCTTGGAACATATTCATGGCCGTTGGGACACCATCGCGAAGCCAGTAGAGGATTCGTTCTGCTTCCTCACTAACAAGGAAAAAAAACAAGAGGTATGATAAGCACAAATTATGCAAGTTAACGCGAATTCAATAGGCACGAAAAAGAACCAGAAAAAAAAAAGCAAGTGTTGGTATATATTTACCGGTCAATCGTTCGCTGGGCATCCTAGAAGGCTGGATCGGTCAGTTGCTCGACATTAGCATAGGTACCGGCTTCTTCGTTATAATCAAAGTGGGTGTTGCTGTAGTAGTTGGACATTGTGAAAGCGGTTATTGGAAAGAAGTTAAAGTAGGTGTGTGAGTGGGTGTGTATATGGGGCTCTTTTGTTGTTGCAAATGCGGCGTCTTTATATAGTTTTTCATCTCTCGTTGGCACATGCACTTTGAGCAAGCATCTTTTGTATATGATAGCAGTAGACGATATGCCGGGCTTTGAAGATATAAACCAATAAAAGAATAAAGGGAGACAATGTTCTTTACTGCCAAGTATTAGCCTCGATATGTGGCAAGGTACCTGTCTGCGTTGTTGAATGAGAAAACTAAAAATAAATCAAAGGGGTGTTGTGTGCCAAGACGAGCCGCAAAGTGGCATGGCAGAATTACGTGAGTTGTAAGCAGAAGAAGCTTTGTGGCGCACATGTGAAAGTGGGGGTGGCTGTTATCTGTCATGTTCTTAAAATAGAACGTGATCGACAATACAATTCCGACAGAGAAGTTGCCAAGACGAGCCACAAAGCCATGTGGCAGAATTACGTAAGTTGTGAGTGACAAGAAGAGCTTTTGTGGCGCACATGTGAAAGTAGGGGTGGCTGTTATCTGTCATGTTCTTAAAATAGATCGTGCTCGACAATGCAATTCCAACCACAAAGTAGTGTGGTGTAAATTAAACAGGTACAATGTAACTTCCTATCGCGCACTTATGGCCGTATAGTACAATGTAGCGCAACTTGGCAATAAAGCACAGAGATAAAAATAATTATGTGGATGTGGCAGAGAAAGGATTATGTGATCAATATAAAAACACTACTATACTGCGGTATTATTTTTTTTCATCCAACAACAGCCACTATATCATGAACCCTCCCGAACAACCTACAAACAACAGCGGTCAGCCTAGTAGCTCTGGTGCGGTATGCCGTACATGTGGACAGCATGTGGAAACAAGCATGGATACCCATAGAAAACAATTTCACCAAAAGCAAGTTACGGTAACATTGCGCAATTATGGTATGTCATTATATTGGGGTTGGGGTTGTATTGTGCTTACTCGTTAAAAATATGAAAACGTTACTCATATGTGTTTGTGCAGCAACGCTTACTATTGTAGTAGACAGGGTCGGCGACGGCGCGCCAGGCTTTGTAACATGCCCGCAATGCCAACATGTTGAAGGCGTCTTGAACTTCCATCGCCATTTCGTTGACACTTGCAATGCCCTTCTTGATCCTGCAACAGTTAGCCAGTCGCGATTATACAGAGCTCCACGTCGACCACAGCCGCAAGAAAGCCGGTCCATGTCACCTACATTGCCTGCTCAACAACCTCGTTCTGCCCACCGCCGCGCACATCCACAATATCTAGCTTTACAAGCAGTAGCAGCGCCAGCAGTGGTCCAGCAGCAGGTTCAGCAACAGCAGCCCGAGCTACAGCTGGGATCGATGGACGTTGATGAACAACAAGAACGGCAACAGCAATCGCCAGAGCAACAACCGGTACTAATGGATGTTGACAACGATGAAGAAGCGCCAATGGCTCATGGTAAATAAAAATGATGTTGCTGTTGCTGTGGCGTATGTAAAAAGGCTCATACTGATATATGCTACCACGTTTATAGAGCGTGCTGCTTTGATTGGCAGATTGGGTCTTATTATTGACCGTACGAGTGGCCTGCTTTTCTGTTCCAACCGGAACCACGATAACTGATATGTGTTTATTCCAACGACTGAAGCATATAGCCATATCCAGTCAGCCCATCGTATGCTCGCTCCCAGTACTAATCAATACTCGCAAGAAGAATTCACCAATCTACTGTATGCCCAAGGTGCCAAAGGAGTTGATGTGACAAACAAATACCGGTATGCACAGCATCTTACCACCGAACTGCTTCCTTGCGTTGGTGTACTTGGGATCCTGAGCCTGGATTCGCATGCAACCATTGTGGCTACTACTGTAAAGCGGCAGCAACACGTCGTCATCACCATTGTCCTGTCTCATCCACTGGATCCTATGATGAACGTTTCAGCCGCTGTCTGGTGCAAAAACTCGGTGCACGTCAAGATATGCCATATTTTGGCGTCTTATCCAACAACATCAACATCGAGAGTAACAACCGCCTACTTTCTACTGCCCCAGATGTTCTTCGTGCCGCATTGCAGCGTTGTGCTAGTGAGAACATGAACGTCTTGCAGCATTATGGCGTTCAGCACCTAAATCGCGAGCCCAACACGGCCGAGCGCCGTGCAGTTGGCCGCTTCCACGAGATTATGCGCTGGGAAATGATTGTACGGAAAACTTTGAACGCAACACCAGATACCACCGAGTCCCGCGCAGAGCTTGCTAGATGGGCTTCTTTATCTGACGTAAACGACGAAACTGGCCGTTCGATCCATGCTACGGTGACAAGATACTTGAAGGTTATTGATCGAACTACTCGCGGCACCTCTTATTACCTCGAGCGCCGAATGGTGATGGGCTTAAGGTATGCTTACTTTTTCAAGAGAAAGTTGATATATGTATGAAGTATTACTTTAGTTACTGACAGTTGTGTACACTAGCTATGACGATGTGCCCAACCGAGGTATTACACAACTGATGCCAGCAACACAGGACCAGTATGAGCGTCATTAAGCTTCCTTTATAATGATGCTTGTGCGTGCGTGCCAACGTGGTAACGATCAGCCGTTTTCTGGTCGTGCAGTGGGTATTATGAGCCACAACCAGTACCTGTGCGTCTGCTATCTTATGGATGTTCTGGCTCGGGCAGATTTTCCTACTGAGGATTCTACCATACCTGAGGAGGCATTGCATCGCCTTCAGGACTTGAACGAAACCCTATTAATGAGTAGGGAGTGTGGGACCTTTCGTATTTGGCCTGCCCGGTTGTTTATGGTGTTATCCAACATCACTCAAGCAGGAGCCTGGAAAGAACTCCCAAAAACTACATCGGATATTGCCAAGCTACAGTACTTTGTCCGTTTGACTGGACTAGTCAAGTTACTTGGGGCAGAAGACAGTATGTATAAGAAAAGAGAAATACGAAAAAACAAAACGTGTGTCCTCATATATTGTTTTTAGTTAACGTCCTGACAGCTAGCCCAGCAGCAACAACAGCAACACAAGAAGAACCGCAATAATTTTATATAATAAAAATGTGTGTAGTTGTTGAACCCGCGAAAAAAAATTCTTTTTCCTTCTTTCTTGTGGAGAGCACCAAATAAGCAGTATGGGGAAGAAAAGGGTGTTTTATTAATATGTGCGTAGTGCACATTAGTTCGAGAACCGAAGTCTCTTTTATTTGTTTACCATGAACGACTCACTTGCTACCGTTTTGGATTTATCGTTGAACATCCGTGGTAAAAAAAAAGAACCAAAAAAAAAGAAGAAAGAGATGAATGATGGAGGGATGTGCAATCGTCAATCTGTACTGAGTATGCTTTTTTTTTCAAATTAGACAAGGATGCTGTGATGAAAGAAGTAAAAGAAGTTTTTGCCAAGCACGGCTTTACTGTTGAATTCAACAAGAACACTGTTGACGCTGTAAGTCCTAATGGGAAGAAAAGGATGGGAGAAAAAAAGTTAATTAGGCTGATGGAGTTTGTTTCGGTTAATTTGAAGCCATTGCCATCGCCATCTGGCGTTGGTGCTAATACTGCTACTACTACTCCTACTACTACCACTACGACGACGATTGCCCGGCGACCACAAAGAAGCACGGTAAAAAAAAGGGAAAGGGAAAAAAGGGAAGCGTGTGTGAATACAAGGAGAGAAGAACGGGTGCTAATACAGTAGTTTTAGCCTATATCTCCACCTGACTATCTTGCATCGATTCAACAACGAAAGAACGACGCTTTTTTGCGATCTATTGCGAGGGAGACGCGTGCCGAGTTTGAACGGGATCGGCGAGCTGGAGAAGAGGAGGACCGCCGGTTGCGAAGACAGCAGGCAGCAGCAGCAGCAGTAGCAGCATCTTCTTCATCATCATTAAGAACAACAACAGCAACAACCAGTAACAGCAGCAACAACAACGCGACGACAATGATCCCCAGCAGCAGCAACAATGACAACAGCAACAACAGCAACAATCCAAGTGTGAGCGTGCAAGAACGAGAAGGTATGCTTTTAGTTTTTTGTAATGTTTCAGTTGTAGGGATTGAACGCTTTGCTAATTGTTTTTCACTTGAAGATTCTGCTCGTATGGTTTATGATCTGGACGACGAAGACATTGACTTGAACGATTTTGAGGAGACCCCTACTACTACTGCCGCCACCAATACATCATCATCATCAAACAGCAACAACGCCGCCACTGCCACCTACCACCATCGCCATCATCCTGTCTCTGCCCAAACAACAATAGCAAGCAACAGCAGCAGTAATAATAATAAAAACAACAACCTTATCACCATCTCTGGCCACTTGCGGTCGAAAAGACAACGCACACAGCAGACTGCACACTCACAGCCCGAATACGACGACATAAACACGCAGTACAGCCAAGAAGACGTCAGTAGCCAAGTTGTTTTGTCTGATGGCGGATCAATGAAGAATACATGGCGCAATGGCGGAAAGCTTGTCAGTGGTGAGTTAAAAAAAAAGGATGTGATTGCACACAACGTATTATTGACTGCTGCCTTTTCCGCTTAAACAGAAATCGACTTTATTTGTTCAACGCATCCAGAGCATAGGCTCAAGGTCATCGACAACGTGCACAACTGTTTACAGTTCTTGGAAAGCAACAATCAATCACTCAACTTTGACGACAGCGCCTCACTTATCAACGCACGACACCTTGAACAACAACAACAAGCCGCCATTCTGAGCAGAGCAACAAGAAGCAAAGCCAAATTGAACCTACTCGACAGCGCCAGCATTGCCGTTGCCATGATGCAGATCATTCAAAACATCAACATTGTCTATTGTCGTTATATCTATCATAAAGTCAAAAAAGGAAAAAACGAGTTTTTGATCAAGGCGTGTTTCCATATAAAGACGAAAAAACAGCACAAAGTATGATGGCCAAGATGAAGCAAGGAGTGCGGCGATATATGCACCTGATTCGAGTTTGTGGACCTGATATTGCATTGCTGCCGTTGACATTTAACCCATGGAATCTGGAGGAGGTATTTATCTTTTTATGTGGGTGTGTACATGGATCTTTGAGTGTGCTCAAGATACTGATCCACTAGAATTTCTACAGATGAGCGAAGAAACGTTTCTACATGCATTGAATAATTCGAATATTGAAGTTGTAAAGCGAAAGTTGAGGGATTTCCGTACTATCGATCGATTGGTGCCGACTGTTGTAAATAGAATTGTGCAAATGGCGAACAATGACCAACATGTTTTTCAAGGAAACAACACTCAGTGCCAGCAGCAACAACAACTACAAAGCAGCACGCCCGTTGAAAGAATGGACTTGGAGGATTAAGGGTTTTCTTATTTAAAAGATTGTGCGTTTTTTTTATTATATCAATTTTCTTTTATGTGTCTCTCTCTCCCTCTACTGTTATTCTGTGTCTCTTTACTACTATACCCATCCCCGTCATCATCATATCATCACCTCCACCATAATCATGTCATATAGAATTGCCACGGCGATTACTTAGTAGGTGGAGTAGACCCAGTAGACCCAGGTCTACCCCAGGTCTACTCAAAATTTTTATTTGATATTCGGGTAATGACAAGGTCCAGGAACACGATTTATTATGATGCAAATGCTTACTTACTTAATATGGTGTGGAGATATAAGCCATTTACTATTGAGCATAAGGTATCCTCTACTAAGTAGACCCAGTAGACCTAGGTCTACCCCAGGTCTACTCAAAATTTTTATTTGATATTTAGGTAGAGACAAGGTCCAGGAACACAATTTATTATGATGCAAATGTTTACTTACTTAATACATTGTGGAGATATAAGCCATCTACTATTGAGTATAAGGTATCCTCTACTAAGTAAACCTAGTGAACCTAGGTATACCCTAGGTATACCCCAATTTTTTGTAAAAGTATAAATCCATTTGATAAGTTTTCAATAATATAGCAAAAAAATAAAAAACTATAAATAATATCATTTTAAATAAATTATAAATAATTATATTGTTTCTTTATTAAATAAAAAACAAATTCTCAAACCTTATAAAATTCTCAACCACTAGAATTAATCTCAAACATTATGTTTAAGAAAAAACAGGCTAGGAAGAATGACGACGCCCAGTTCAATAAAAAATCAACAAAGTTAGATTTTTATTAGAACGCTTGACAGTATAATAAAACATTATAATATTGTTATTTATAACAAATATTATAGATATTGTTTATACTCCTTACCGGTCAGCAACTTCGAGATCTTTGCGTGGGTCCTACGTTCAAGCCTTGTTTATTCAGGGTAATGGAGTCGTTGCGTGGACCGGCCAGGTCCAATTTTTTTTCAAGCACAATCTCCTCATTGATGGCAGACAGAAGACGCACTCATTTGCCTTCATCCGTTGGTATCGCGCAGCAGCAAGGCAGCAACGCTTTGAAGATGAGGGTCTGGAAGAGTGGTTTAGCAGTTTTATGGCAGAAGGAACTGACTCCATCTTGCCTATCCACCAGATTCACTCGCAGGTGGCCATTGTTAAGTTTGGTTCACAAAGAAACACCAATAGTGCTAGGAGCATAGTGATACTGCTAGCTAGAAAAGTGTTTTTGTAGAAAAAATAAAGATTGCGAAAAAAAAAAAGAATTTTATTTCGCCCAGTCGGGCAAAGTGTTGAGCACGTCTTGCTCGATCTGGACGTCACTGTCCGGGATCACGAGTCTAGTGTACTCCCCATTGGGCCTTCTTGTCCCGGTTGCAGCAGCGGCCTTGGACTTCGCGTCCAAATCATCCAAAAATTCATTGGCCTATGCAAAGTATCGCTATAATATTAGCAACTTTTCCGATACTTAACAACACTGGATTTTCGTGAGTGTTTTAAATAATGAATTACCATGCTCGATCTCAAGGCAGGCACCAAACGTCGCACCACTCGTCCTCGTCCTCCCTCCTCATCGTCACTCATCTCTGGCGACATACATTCTCTCCGAAGGAGACGCTCGCATCCAGGGAAGCGCGATTCCAGATCCTCTGCATGGCGCTGGCGTGTGGTAATGCGAGTCTTCAATTTCTATATGTGATTGAGCGTTAATATTTACGTTAGAAAGCACTTGAACATACACTCGCCCTTTGCGCACTAACTTTGTAGACTCGCGAATAGCGCCTGATATCCACACTACATCGAGCAGCTGTCTCCTTAGTGGTGCGCGACTTGGTGCGTAGAGTATTGAAGTACGCTCTCACTCTTTTGCGAACATCCATGTCACTAAGCAACCCACTCGTTCTTGGGTTCGTCGCAACGAAGCCCAATATAGCTGTTGTAACTATCTTGTTATCCCGATGTCTGAAGCTGTTCTCGAAATTCCAGCAATCACATTCGGGAAAACTGGCGACGCATGAATAGATAGCCGCCTACCATAGAAATATAACATAGTTAATAGACAATAATAAGAAGCTTTATTTTCTTTTATTACAGTCACTCTTGCACTGGCATCTCCCTGTGTCACGGAAGAAGACACCGGCTGCTGCTGGCCGTTAGCAACGATTGGTGTAGCAGTTGTATGTTGCTGTTGTTGTATAGCGTCAATGACGCTCGTTAAACCCGTAATCTGATTTTTGACGGTTGTCATCTCGGCTTGGAGCTTCCTGTTGGAATCAAGAACAGAAGCGAGAGACAAGCGATCTTGCGATTCTGCTACGCGCAACTGATGCTGGGCACGACGGTCGTTGATGATATTGCTGGTATTGTTGTTGTTTGAAGAAGACATCTATAACATTAATAGTAAGCAACATTTTATGGACTATAAAGACACTAATGAATGAGCAGTATTTACGTTGTGCAAAAAAAAAGATAAGAAGAGTATGTGCGGTGAAATAGCAAGAAAGAAAAAAAACACGTCTTTTACAGCATTTATTTATCTGTATCTGTAGGCTGATCTATGTAGCTCCCCTCCTTAATACTGTGCATTTGGCTAGCATAAATGGGGAGTATATAAAGTAGCATTGACTTGAAGTTCATAATTATCCTCTTTCTTTCCATTTTCTTTTCTTTTTCTCTTCTCAAACACTCCCGCCGGCAATACAGTGTAAGGTATTTTATCTTGTATCTCCTCTCCTACTATCGAATGACTTCCCAACTCGCTTTTAAACAAAAATTCACTTTTTATCTAGAGGCACCACTTACGACTCAAGGGTTGTTGTAGCAAGCGTTGGTAAGTATGTTATACCTTTTTCTCATGTTGCCAAGTGACATTGCAAACTGCAGCGATCTCACATTATTCGTATACCCTAGCTCTGTAGATCTCATCTCATCTGGAAGTCATCATTGTAAGTACATTCGGGGGTGCTTTTGTTTTGTTAATCGATTTGAACAAGCACTGCTTTGTAAACAATTGACTGACTTTCTATCCCATACTCTACTTTAGTAGATGATGCTTTGAGGTCTTTACCTGCTCTTCTCTACTACGCCTTGCCTTTCTCAAAGCATTTTCATTTTGCTTCCGTTCTCTTAGTTGACCATTAGAGTAGATATAGTCATTCCGTAGTTTATAATACTGTGATTGCTGCACACTATATCGCGCTATTGTTTTTGAATAAAATCCATCGTTTTTAATACCGCATATATGCTTTCTACTATTTCATCGCCATCATTCATGCTGTAGATAATCGTCGTAATCTTTGTAGTACTGGACCCCATCGTATTTTACGTTGCCACTGATATTGCAGTTAAATATAGAATATTTAAAAATAGTTATATCGATGTTGCTCCTATACGATCGTAAATGAGCGGCAAACAGACAAAATCAAAATTGATCCACATAGACTGCAGGTGCAGCAGACATGCATCCTATTGTGTCTATACCCCCCAAATCCTACTAGAAACTAGTTCGAGGAATCCATAACTTCAAACTTATGGATTTTCACGAAAGAAAAGTTGCAAGTAAGGTATCCATAAGTTTGAAAGTAATGGATTTTCTTATGGATTATAGTATATCCACAAGAAAATCCATTACTTTAAACTTATGGATACCTCCTTACGAGCGCAGTGGTAATTAAGACAGGGAATAAGCATAGTGTCAACCTATGTGCGAAGCACAAACCGAGTGAAGCGAAGAAAGCATGAGGAGAGTGATTAGGATAGGAATAAAGCACAAGTTCCTTATTCTGCCCCGACTTTAACTTTGCCCCCCCCCAGTTTTCAATTTTTGTGAAAGTCAGATAGGTGAAGGGTAGCAGGCACAGAATAAAGGGACTTGGAGAAAAAATTGAGTGCAGCAGTATATGTTTTGTCAGCAATCAAAAAAAAGCATTGTAACTACATAGTGTGCCATTCATCTTGAGACAAGGTAATTTTAAAAGTGCATTTGTAAATCGTAAAGCTCATTGAGAATGGGGAGCGATAGCTAAATAGCACAGGGAGAGCAATTACGATTTGTGGCAGAAATAAGCATCTGCACTTTTACACTAACCGTCACTGTCAAACCTGCTCAAATCAATTCCAATAGACACAACTGTAACAGCGATTCGAGATGAAGTTGGACTCAACACTTAATTATAATATATGCGGTGAGATGGAGGTAGGGGTCGCAATTGGACGGGTCGGATCGGGTCAAGGGTCTGACCCGTTGACCCATGGGTCAAGAAAACACTGACCCGACCCGATCCGTTCAACCCGATGGGTCAAAACTCGGGTTGACGGGTCAAGACTGATTTCAATTTAGTGATGAAGGAAGTGTCGATCAGCCTGAACTTGAGCACTGGAAGTGCAAAACTCCATATATATATAGCTTTCTAAGATGATGGCACGCAAATTCCTAACAGTGCTAGCAACATCTACGTTTTGAGTGATTGTTCTTAAAGGTAAAGGGTTCTGTGCCATCACAAAAGAAATCGCTTGGGCTCACATGCTTTAAAGAAAGCATAATACAGTCGACCCCCGTTAACGTCAACCCTCAAGGTACCAGCAAAAGTGTTGACCATATCGAGGGTTGACGATCACCGGGGGTAGAGAATAGGCAAAATCTTTAACTGCTAACTTTGGAAGGTTACCAACGAATCTGTTGGCGCTATCGGGGGTTGACGTTAACGGGGGTTGACTGTATTTAAAGTGTGGTTGAAAATCGACTTCCCTATATGCCCCTTATCCTTTTCCCTTTTCCCTTTTCTTTTCACTTCTTTCTTCTTCCTTCTATTCTCAATTCCTTTTCCGTCTTTTGTTAAATCGCATCTCTTACTGCCACCCTCTATTGTATATTCTTATTGCACTATTGCTACTTCTTTACTCCTATCATATATATTGCTTATAGCTTACTTATCCCATACTGTTGAACATAAAGTATAATCCCACAA